AGGCTGAGTTCTCAGCTGGAGCTTTGGGGGAAGACCCGCTTCCAGGCTCATTTTTGTTGAAATTTCTATTTCCTTATTGGTTCTTAGTTGAGAGCCAATAGCTCCTAGAGGCCATTCACATTCTTTGCCACCAGGCCCTTTCCATCTTCAAGAGAGCAATGGTGCTTCTAAGCTATGACTTCTTATCTCTGACCCCAGGCATTCCTTAGATTCCTGTAAGTCAACCTACTAATTTAAGATATCAGCACCCTGAGGCTCTGAGAAGTGAAATTTCCAGATAGGTCAGGCCCAACCTGATAATCTCCCTTTATCTTAAAGTCAGCTGTGCTGTATAATATAACCTAATCATGGAAGTGAAATTCATCCCATTCAGTCTGTAAACTGTGGGGACTGGAATCTTAGAAGCCTTCTTGAATTCTGCCCAACACACATTACATGATTTTTACCAATATGAATGTATTTTTATAATAAAATAGAATTAAAATCAGGACCCAGAAAGTATGTTTATCATAAATATAAATAAATTCTACAAACAAAAAAACTGAATTGAAAGTGTTCCTAGCATCCTTTTGGAGAAAAACTAAATTGACAGTCCCTAGATAGTAATTCCAGTGTTGTAATTGTCTGTTTTCTTTGCTGTGTTTTTCATTCATTGCTAATGTCATCAAAGGCAGGAATCCCATTTTATTCATCTTTACATCCATAGTTTAAATATTTGTTTAAAATGTAAACAAATATATATATATATAAAAATACAAAATAAAATCGGAGCTATATTGTTAAGTTTCAACCAACTGAAGTAAACTCTAGCCAGCTTAAATTAAAAAGGAGAATGTATTGTGAGAAACAGGGATGTCTTGTGGACTCTTAAGAAACAGCTATACAACTAAGAATCTGAAGAGAAGGATGTCAACAGAAGGGAGTTCTTAAGCCCCATTTATCCTTGAGCGTTGCCTTGGTATTATCTAGATACTATACTTCTGATCTCTTTGTGTCTCTTCTAAATCTTGAGTCCTTGGTAGAGAGAATCTATTGGCCCAGACTGAGGCAGGTATCTGTATCTGCCTCCTACATCCCCTGGTGTTGAAGCAGGCTGTCAGCGTTATCCAGTATAGACACTGCTAATGTAGCCCATCCAGGGATCACCATGAGCTGGGCAGACACCCCAAGAAATGTCTATTAATGTAGTAAATACTGACAACTGGTTGAGTACAAGTAGCACATTGCCATTAATTCATTCAAGCAGCTTGGAAAGCAAGGACATAGTTTTAGTAGTTCTGTTTTCATATCTCTTCCCTGCCGTGTTAAGATCACTTTCCTTCGACAGATATTTATAGTACATCTACTATCTGCCAGGTACCCTGCTACAAGCTGGGGATACAAAGAAATAAGATCCCATCTCTGTGTTTAGAGAAGGAGAAAAAACAGCACAAATAAATGTAATATAGCTCGGCAAGTACAACCCTAAGAACACATTCTTACAGGGTTCTTTATGCTGAAAAACTTTTATCACTGTTATCTATGGTAGAACTCCATTATCTCTCTCACAACAACCATTAAAGATAATTATAAAAACACCAACAAACAATTACAATTCTTGATTGTGTCCTTCACAGGGGACTAGGGGCTTAAAATCTTGTTAATTATATTGAAAAGGAAAAGTTAATTATAAAGGAAACAGATTCCATTCCTTATAAGAATCATAGAATATGAGGAGTCAAAGGGTCCCCAGAAGTCACTCAGGGTTACTGCTTGTTTGAAGTGTAAATGCCTTCTCTTTTTTGGTCTTCCTCTTCCTACTTCTTTCTCTTTAAAATTGCTGCCATGTCAGGTCTACCTTAGTTTGATGCTGAGGAGTATGAACACTCACTAGTAAGTAGATTATAGAGGATCATGAACTGTAACTTCTTATAGCAGCTTTTTTTCTCTCCATTGAGAATAATTGTACGTTTTCTATTCTTTGAGAATAAAAAAAAGTAATATGCACTTTAAAGGCCATTAAAGTCATACTAATTGGAGGGAAATCATTAAATTATAAAGGGATAAGTTAGCTGATTTGAGCTAACTCAATCCAGTTAATCATGATTTCTCAATAAGAATTTATGTGCAGCCTTATTTTTTAATGCTGATAACCTTTGAAATAGATATGAAAAGCCATCTGCTTAATTACTGCGAAATATACTCTGCCCTGTGGGTTTGAATCCTGAGCAGACATGTATGTCCTGTTGGCTTTCAGCTCTAAGCTAGAGCTGAGCTCTATTATGTTATTCGATGGGGGAAACTGAACGGAAAAGGGAATTACCACTGGGAAAAGGCTATTACTTACCCAGGGGTAGGTAAGTGACTACTCCTTCACTGTATGAGCAAACTGCCGAGGAATGGATTGTACTCCCTGAAAAGCAATAGCCATCTCTTAACATAATAGAGCGTGCTCAAGGCATAGATAATGCTGTCAGGAAAAAAAAAAAAAAAATGGATATATTCTTTATGCTCTTTGTCACTTTAGAGTTTTAGTCTTTCTCCCTTTTGCTTTGGTTTGGCTGGTGTGCTAGGTAATCCAAGAATCTGAGAAAGTCAGAGCAAGAAATGGCACCTAGACTCCATCTCTTTATTTATACTCTGCCTCATTCCCTAAGGATTTATATCGGCTTAGGATTCATACAGTTCAAACTCCTTACTTAAGAGATCAGGAAACTGACTCTCTTAGAAGTTATTTCCTCAAAATCATAGAGCTAGTTAGCAGTAATGCTAGAACTGAAACTCCTAACTCTGTCTCCTTATAGAGATGGGTGATCATTACATTTTAAAAAATAGTTTTGTTAACTACGAACTATTTTCCAGGCACTGTGTTTGCCCAAGATGATGTAATAGAGAGTAGAAAGGACATGAGTCTTGACCTTGGAGTTCTTACCATCAAGGGAAAGACAGATTTGAAGAAAATGTTCATACAAATCATTTAGGTAAATTACAAAAGCAATAAATCTATGATCATTGTGTTGGATGCTGTAAGCATAAAATGGAGGTCCTAGAAGGCTTGTTTCAGGAAGTGACATTTATAGTGAGCTGTGAAAGAGAAATAGTAATAAATCAGACAGAGGATTTGGGCAACTGGCATGCAGAGCAGAAGGGAATAGAATGAGAGAAGTTCCTGGGGTGAGTGCAGCTTGGTTCAACTGAGAAATGGAAAATAAGCTTGTGTAGCTGGAATGAAGCAGAGTGAGTGAGAAGAGAACAAGAGGAGACTGGAGACAGGGTCTGGGACCAGACTGCTCAAGGCCTTATAAACTCCCTAACAGTTTTGGACTTGATCCTGAGTGCAATAAGAAACCATAGGAAAATTTTAAATAAGAGATAGAAATATACTCAGATTTATGTTTTAGAACCATAGCAACTCTACTGGGTGAGGAATGGATTGGAGAGAGGATAAAGAGTTTAAGTAGAAAGACCAAATAGGATGCTCTTACATTAAGTGGATGTAAAGTGGATACTCTTACATTAATAGGATCACTTACATTCAAGTGAGAAATAATGATGGCTTGCACTATAATAGGATGGGAAGAAGTGCAAAGATTCAAGATATGTTTGAAGGTAAAATCAGCAAGACTTCTTGATGGTTTAGATATGCAGTTGAGGGGTTCAGGGTTTCAAGAATGACTCTCAGGTTCTTAGTTGAACAACTGGGCAGATATTATTGCCATTTACACAGGTAGGGAAGAAATTGATTATGGAACCCTCTGGGGACTGAGTGGGATGTAAAGCTCTATTTGGTTTGAGATGCTTGTAAGACATCTAGTGGAAATGTAAAGTAGGAGTTGGATATGCAGATCCTAAACTCAGAAAAGCATTCGGGTTAACTATGTGAATTTGGAAGATGTCAGTATATAGACAGGCTTTGAACTTAATGGAATAATTTACCTAGTTAAGGTTATTGAACTCACATTGGAGAAAGATGGGTGGGATATAAATTTAACAAAGAGAGGCATTCAGGTAAAGGCTGTGATATGAGCAAAGCCCCAAAGGAGAAATGACAGACCAATGAATATTTTTCCAATTGGTGAGAAGTAAAAAATAAAACAGGGTGGGATTTTGAGTGCCTTCCTAAGTCAGATAGTGGCTATCCTGTTTACACTGGTCACATGAAGAGATGTGTGAGCAGTCTTAGATCTTCACACACCAGTAAGAAGCATTCTTTTGTGCTTCCTTGGTTTATATTGTGAAACCTTAAAGTCAAACTTAACATAAATGTTGAGATAATTATATTGGTCATGCATCATGAGAGAAGAATAAAGAATAAATTTCCCACAAAACCACCACCTACCATTTGCTAATAACGTAGTGGAAATAAGCCCAAATAATCAGAACCGGTATTCTAGGAGTTGTTCTGTGCCTGTCACCCTGGTGATGAAGTTTCAGCTCCCACCTCTGGTTCAGTTAGGATGATGAAGACTAAAATTAAACTAACCCACACAGCATTGTCTGTCTGGATCTCTGCTCTCCCCATCCATCACTCCTCCTCACAGAGTCCACCCATGTGGGGACTGTCATATACATCCCATCATCCTTCATTTGGCAGAACAAAGTTAGAAGCCAAGTAATGAGGCTGGGAACCTTTCCAGTTCAAAGAACAAAATGCTGTAGACATTAGTGGGGCCTAGAGGTTACACTCATTTGAAAAATGTATACTCCTCAGTGCTGAAAGAGTTGATGCCTTTCCAAAAGTATCTTCTGCAGCACCTGAAGTACTACACAGGATTTGGCCAGCTCCTAGCGTTATCATTCTTTGTCACTAGTAATTGTATCTTAGTATCCATTGAGTAATACATCTCATTTTGTGCCTAATAGTTTTGCATGTTTGAAACCAGTATATGTTTATATGGATATTTTTTTATTTTATATTGCCGTGCATGCATTTCCAACTGAAAACTGAGGTAATGATTATAATTTGAGCCAGGAACTTGGCATATAATGTGTACTGATTCTGCCTATTTTAATATCCACAGAAATGAAGATGCAGTCAATCAGATGGCTGTTACTCCCTTTCCATTACCATCAAGTTCCCCATCTTTTATTGAGGTAAGATGGCTCCTAATTAGCTTACAGTGAATATATTAGGTGAATTTATCATGACCATTTTTCCAAGTCTAACATTTTTGATTTTTCAGTAGCACGTATTCCAAACTCATAGAACTTTTTCACTAGAGAATTTCCCTAATTAAAATAGAAAGTGTTTGAGGTATGATTATAAAGTAATATAAAACAATGTTAAACAAACACATTAGAACTTAATCATATGAGTATTACCTTCCTCAGAGTTCCTTAAGGTTTTTTCTGGACATATAATTTGTCCTAATTAGGCATTTCAGAATTTATTAGAAAATTCTCTTTTTTAATGACTGAATCATATCTCTTTATCATTTCAAAAACACTTTAATACCTGTGAGTGCAGGTATCTTTAAATAATTAGTTTCATCGTTTAATAGGGAAATTCCTAATACACCAAGATTGCTGTCACTTTCATCTGCTTCTAGAGATAGACAATCAGTATATCTCCCCAGCTGAGAGAATATTATACTCTCTTAACATTTTTTATTTATTGAATTATTTTTTAATTTCAAAAATAAATACATACTTATTATAACTAGTCAAACAATGCAGATTTATTAAAATAAAAAGTTGATTTTTCTTTCTCCACCTTCCCAAAGAAATATTTACTGTTTAGTATCTCTCCATACTTTTTCCTTTGCTTCTACAAAAATAAAGTTAGTATGAATAACGTCCCTTTTAGTAAATATTCGATTATATAATATACATTCTTTTCATTCAGCAAGTATTCAGTGAGTGCATATTATATGTCAGGCACTATTTAGGGTATTAGAGATATAGGTGTGAATAAAACAGATGAGGCTCTCTGCTATGGTTCTGTTTACATTGCAATGACAAAATTAACAAATAAACTAACAAAATTATCAGAAGTGGTCAGTGCCTTGCAGGTAATTAAAATAGGGAATGTGGCTTGTGACCACTTTGGTTGATCATAGGGAAGGCCTCTTGGACAAGGTGAAATTTAAACAAGTTCGAAATAATGATGAGCCAGACATGCAAAAATAAGGGGGAAGAGCTTTCTCTGTAGAGGGGACAAAAATAGCTCTCAAGTGAGAATGAGCTGAGGGTGTTTGATGAATATGTCTGGGAACATATTGGGAGCCTAGGGTGTAGTGGAATGTAATGAGAGGGAGAGGAAGGGAATATGAGATGAGAAGAGGGGAGCTTTATGAGTAAGAGGAAGAAATTTGGAGTTTATTCTATGTGCCGTAGAGGCCACTAGGTTTTTAACAGGGGAGTGAAGCGACCTGATATACAGCCTATTTGGTAGGGAATGGACTACAGGAAGGTAAAAGTATTATGCTGGAAGGCAGAAGCCCAGGTGAGACCTAATTGTGGTTGGATGAGGTTTTGGTATTAGAAGCAAAGAAAAGTGAGCTGATTCCCGATGTTTTGGATGTTACATCAGACTTGATTGATTAAATACGAAAGCTTCGGGGAACAAGAGAATCATAGATAAACCTAGATTTTTGAATAGTGGTACTATTTATTACAGTCTGTTGAAGAATACTGTTCTGTAACAGGGAGGCAAAAATTAAGAGGTTAAGTTTGAGAGAGAGATATTATATATCCTTCTGGAATAGATTCCATATTAAAAAGAGAAAACTTGCTTTTTTGCTTAATATAACGGCCACATATTAATAGACTCTATTATAATCTTTTCCGAATTGACAGATATTCAAATGATCTTCCAATATTTTTCTAGTAAATGAATACCAAAATAAACATCCATGTGAGGTGTGCACGCGCACACACACACATCAATCATTTGGTACTAGTGCTTTTGTTTCTATAGCATAGATTTCCTCAATGCACAGTTGCTGAGTCAAAAGCTATACAAGTTCAAAATTTTAATCTATATTGACCAATTACTATATGAAAAGATTGTAGTGATATATGTTGACTCCCTACGAATAGCGACAGCTTTGCCAGCACTGAGTATTTTCATTCTAATTAAGAGCTAGGGTAGATAGTTGACATAGTGGTGAAAATGAGGGACCCCAGAGCCATACTACTTCGGTTCAAATCCTGGTTCAACCATATGTTAGATATGTGACCTTGGGTAGTTATAGTAAACTCTTCTACCCCCACTTATCTGTAGGGAGATAACAATAGTTCCTTCCTCATAGGGTTAAGATTAAATTAGACATATATAGCTATATCTGTAAATATATATCTATATCTATATATTTCTTGGGCCTGGCACATAGTAATTACTCAATAAACATGAGTACTTAATTCCTAATTCTTTTGTGTTTATAGAATGTCATAAGCTTTTTGGATGTGTGGGGTTCGATATTTTTAAATAATTTTTTTCTATAGTATTGTTAGTTTCCATCTAAATATCAACCCCTTGGAACTGAACTTTTTTATTGCCCATATTTTTTCTACTGCAAAAGAAAAGTACCTTTATGATGACCAAGGAAACTAGCCTGTCATTAAATTATAAAGCTTCTGTGAGATCCAGCTTTTGTGTCTTAGAGTGGGTAAAATGTATACTGTTGGTGTCAACATTGAGTTTGAGAGAACTATTTCTGGGGCTTCTGTTTGATTTCCATTGTCTTCTTTCTGTCAAGAATGACTTCGGATATCGGCTGCATATCTTCTGTAGTCTATACCCAGCCAAGTAGTTTCTGCTGCTTTCT